CAGCCCCGCAGCCGTGGGGCCTGGTGGGATGCAATGCAGGGTGCGGGGGGAGGAGGCAAGGGGGGCTTTGGGGGGGCCGCAATGGGGGATGCAACCACGGGGGGGTGCAGGGCAGCGGGGGTGAGTGCAGGGTGCACCTTGCAAAGTGCAGGGGGGCATGCGTGCAAGAGGCAGGTGGTGCATGCACGGAGGGGTTGCATGCATGGGGGCTGCATGCACAGGTGCATGCATGCCCGGTGTTGCATGCACGCACGCGTGCCCGGGTGCAGGCGCGCGCTGGTGCATGCATGCAGGGCTGCATGCACACGCACGGTGCAGCAGTGGCGGCGCGCAGCACCCAGGTGCCTACGTGCGGGGATGCACCCAAGGTCAATGCAGCCCCGCGGGTGCAGTGCAAGGGTGCGCGCGCGTCGCTAGTCTGCATGCATGCACCGGAGCACGCACACGGCTCGGGGGGAGCTTGCACCGGGTGCATCTGCATGCATGCCCTGCACGGCCCCTGCAGCTGCGCCGCTGCGGATGAGTCAGCAGCGCCCGCCGGGGTCCCGCTGCGTGGCTGGCACGGGCGGCTTGCACGGCGCTCGCGCAGGGGGACGTTGTGCAGGGCTTGCACAGGGCCTGCGTGGGGATTGCACCAGGATTGCGTGGAACCACGCTTAGCTTGCATGGGGATTGCAAAAAAAAAAAGCCTTGCGTAGCGTTGCACTGGCGGTTGCACGGGCGTTGCACGGGGTTTGCACGGGAATTGCAAAGCGGGTGCAGTGGGGGGTTGCAAAGCGGTTGCATTGGTTTTGCTCGGTGGTAGCGCTGGGTTTGCATGGGCTTGTGCTGGGCTTGCGTGGGGCTTGCAGGGCGGTGGCACTGGGCTTGCACCGGGGGTTGCATGCGGGTTGCGGAGCGGTTGCGCCAGCTTTGCATGCGGGTTGCACTGGGGTTGCACCGGGTTTGCACTGCAGTTGCTCGTGGCTTGCACGGGGTTTACGTGCCGGGTGCACCGGGCTTGCAGAACGCTTGCGTGGCGCTTGGAAAGGGGGTTGCACCCTCTGCAATCCAGAAAAAAAAGCAACAACGATTTTCCCAATTTGACCTTTTTTTCCCCCAAAAGCTGACTGCAGTCACCACCCTATAGCAACAGTAGGACGGGGCTGTTTCCTAGCAGTGAGGTCGCTTAGGACGGGGTTATTCCTGGGTTACTCCTGAGATACTCAGGGTATTTGTAGGGTAACTACCATACCGCCTCCAAGATACTACCAGGATAACCCTAAGGCTCTGTGGTGGTGAACCTGGAGTAATCCCGAGATGTTGTAAAATTCCTATCAGGATACGCCTCGGAGACCATTGGGGTGCTCCTAAGATGCTACTGGGATGCTCCATAGTTACTCTCAGGGTTCTTGTATAGATACTACCTGGACACTCCTAAGTTACTATGGGGTTGCTCCTAAGATATTCTTTGGATTCTCTAAACTTACTATCAGGATACCCATAAGGCACCATCATGATACTCCTAAGATACTGCTGGAGTACTCTCTAAGTACTCTCACAGTGTCCCTAAGGTACTTTGAGTTTACTCCTATGAAATTCCTGACCCCAAGGAATTCCCTAAGAGTATCCCTTAGGTAATTCCCTAAGGAATAGCCCTACGATACTATTGGCATACTCCTAAGACACTATTGGGATACTCTTGAGATAACTCTCCCAATGCTCTTAAGATACTCTCGGGATAGACCTGTGATACTATCAGGATACTCCTAGCATGCTCTAAGGTTACCCCAAGGATACTACCAGTTGTCTGGAGAGAGCCATGCTTTGCCGATACTACTACTATAGCTCTGCAGTTCTCTTAGTAGAACTAAGGATCTAAACTAGGACATTGCTGGTCCTGCTGAAATACTTCTGGCACACTATGAAGATACTACAGGGATACTCCTAGGACAGTAGAAAAAATAAAGGAGAGTTTTGTGATGCTCTTGGAGGATTGCTGAGATACCCAGAATATACCAGCAGCTCAGTCTTGGGCTTCTACTAAGAAACTAGCAGCTCATTACTAGGGCAGTACTAGGTTGCTACCGAGTCCCTGCCAGGGAGGTCACTACTAGTTGCTCTTGGGTTACTACTAGGTTGCTACCAAGTCCCTACCAGGTAGGTCACTACTAGTTGCTGTTGGGTTACTACTAGGTTGCTACCCAGTCTCTACCAGGTAGGTCACTACTGGGTTGCTCTTGGGTTACTACTAGGTTGCTACCCAGTCTCTACCAGGTAGGTCACTACTAGGTTGCTCTTGGGTTACTACTAGGTTGCTCCCAAGTCCCAACCAGGGAGATCACCACTAGGTTGCTCCCAAGTCCCTACCAGGTAGGTCACTACTAGGTTGCTGTTGGGTTACTACTAGGTTGCTCCCAAGTCCCTACCAGGTAGGTCACTACTGGGTTGCTCTTGGGTTACTACTAGGTTGCTACCGAGTCCCTACCAGGTAGGTCACTACTAGTTGCTGTTGGGTTACTACTAGGTTGCTACCCAGTCTCTACCAGGTAGGTCACTACTGGGTTGCTCTTGGGTTACTACTAGGTTGCTACCCAGTCTCTACCAGGTAGGTCACTACTAGGTTGCTCTTGGGTTACTACTAGGTTGCTCCCAAGTCCCTACCAGGTAGGTCACTACTAGGTTGCTCTTGGGTTACTACTAGGTTGCTCCCAAGTCCCAACCAGGGAGATCACCACTAGGTTGCTCCCAAGTCCCTACCAGCAAAGTTACTACTAGGTTGCTGTTGGGTTGCTACCAAGTTCCCGCCAGGTAGGTCACTACTAGGTTGCTACAGGGATACTAGCAGGTCCCTACGAGGCCACCACAGGTTCCTGGGGCTTAGGGAGCCCCAAGGGCCTCACGGGGACCCTCTCCCGACAGCTAAGGCGGCGACGCAGGCAGCGGCGAGGATGGAGGCGCCCCTGGTGAGCCTGGAGGAGGAGTTCGAGGAGGGCCCCGGCGGGGGCGGCGGCGGCGGGGGCTCCCCACGGGGCCCCGCGGACCCGGCGCTGGCCGAGCTCGAGAGCTTCTCGGCCGAGATGATGAGCTTCAAGTCCATGGAGGACCTGGTGCAGGAGTTCGACGAGAAGCTCACCGTCTGCTTCCGCAACTACGACGCCACCACCGAGGCGCTGGCGCCCGTGCGGGGCCACCTGCAGGCCCAGGAGGAGGAGGAGCGCCTCCAGGACGAGGAGTGAGTAAGGCCCTCGGAGGGAGGAAGGTCCTCGTAAGCCAGCGGTGCACCCAGCCAGTCCTACCACCATGGCCTGGTGGTGGGACCTTGGCAGTGGAGTGGACTCTGAGTAGCGGTGGAGCAAACTCTGGAGTAGCGTTGGTGTCCTCATTGGTGCTTTGAGTTACAGCGTAGTAAAGCTAGAGTAGCGTAGCAAGCAGTGAGTAGGGGTGATGCGAAATATGAGTGACGGTGGCATGAGCTACTGAGTACTAGTAGAGTCAGCTGAGTACAGGCAGTGTGAGCTGTGAGTAACAGCAGAGTAAACTGTGAGGAGCAGTGGAGTAAACTCTGGGTACTTGGTGGTGAGTCTTGTAGTAAATTGTGGTGGCGTGAACCAGGAATTGCTTTAGAGTGAACTAGGAGTGCAGTTGTAGTAAACTGTGAGTCCCAGTGGAGTAATCTATGTGTAACATTGCAATAAGCTGAGTCCTGTTGTGGGAAATGAGTTGTTTCGGAGTAAAGTATGAGTTACTATGAAGCAGTCTTTGAGTCCCGTTGCAGGGAACCATGAGTAGTGGTGAACTGCGTGACATCATAGCAACCTATAATCATGAGTAAAAGTATAGTATTAGTAAAAGTAGCATTAAAGCTGTTGTAGTAAACTGAGTCCCGTTGTAGTGAACTACAAGTCGTGGTGTAGTAAACTCCGAATCCCATTTTAGGAAGCTACAAGTCCCGTTGGAGGGAACCACGAGTCCCCTTGGCGTGAAACGTGAGTAGGGAACTAAGTAGCACTGTAGTAGACGAGGAGTTGCACTGGAGTAAACTGGGTCGCATTGTAGTAAATGATGGGTGCCCTTGTAGTGAACCGAGTTGCTTTGGCGTGAACTGTGAGTCCCATTGTAGTGAACTACGAGTTGTGTAGTGAGCTGTGAGTAGTGTTGCAGTAAACTATAAGTAGCATTGTAGTAAAGTATAAGTAATGTTGTAGTAAGCTGTATAGAATTGTAGTAAAGTATAGGTAGCATTGTAGTAAACTATAAGTAGCATAGTTAAACTATAAGTAGCATTGTAGTAAAGTATAAGTAGCATTGTAGTAAAGTATAAGTAACATTGTAGTTAAACTATAAGTAGTGTTGTAGTAAAGTATAAGTAACATTGTAGTAAAGTATAAGTAGTCTTGTAGTTAAACTACAAGTAGCATTGTAGTAAAGTGTGAGTAACATTGTAGTAAGGTATAAGTAGCATTGTAGTTAAACTACAAGTAGCATTGTAGTAAAGTATAAGTAATGTTGTAGTAAAGTATAAGTGGTGTTGTAGTTAAGCTACAAGTAGCACTGTAGTAAAGTATGAGTAACATTGTAGTAAAGTGTAAATAGAGTTGTAGTTAAACTACAAGTAGCATTGTAGTAAAGTATGAGTAACCTTGTAGTAAAGGGTAAGTAGCTTTGTAGTTAAACTACAAGTAGCATTGTAGTAAAGTGTAAGTAGCGTTGTAGTAAAGTATAAGTAGCGTTGTAGTTAAACTACAAGTAGCGTTGTAGTAAACTGTGTGTCCTGTTGTAGGTCCCGGTGTAGTAAACTATGAGTAGCCCCAGCCATGAAATGCGTCACCTCTTGGCCCAGCGGTATTTGTGTGAAAACGCGCGATTTTCGCTCCGATTTCTGCTAGTTTTGCTCTTTTGGCCAAAAAAGGCTGTTTTGTGCCCATTTTGCGGGGCTGAAGCATCTGTGCTCCCTCCATACAAGGGGATTGAGCCGGGGGGTTGCAGCCCCAGGTGCTCATTTCTTCACAAGTGACACCATCACTTTTCACCCCAAATTGCCCCAGATTTGGGCTTTTTTTAGCCAAAAACATGTTAGTCCAATGGCTTTTTTCTTAAGTGGCCAAATCAGAGGGATTTTGCCAGAAAAAAAACGCGATTTTGGCTTCGTTCCCAGAGCGCCGCTGTCGCCGCTTTGTGCCGCTTAGAGCATGTTGTTTTGGGGAGGTTTGGGCAAAACAGGGCTTTTTTTTTTTTAATCCCGTTTTTCAAAGAGCCCTGTGTGCACGAGGGGGATGGGCCAAGGCTGAAAATGCTGTTTTTTCCCCTAATTATTAACCAGTTGTGGATGGAATTGCCTCAAAAATCACCAGCAGCAGCTGGTCCTGTGGGACGCTGGCCCTTTAAGACCAGGAAAAAAGCCAATTTAGGGGCTAATTATTGGTTTTTTTCTCTCTTGTTCCTGCTTTATTGCATTTTTGTTATTTTCTTTTTATACCTTTTTTTGCATAATTCTATATATTTAAATATAAATTGTATATTTACATACTTTAATATATTTTTATTTATTTATATATTATATAATATGTGTTTTTAACGTGATTTTTTTTTTTTTGGTTAATTAATCCATAAAAATGACTGTTTGGCGGTGGGTGATTTGAGGCAGAGGGAAGTGTTCTGGGGTGAATATGAGCCATTTAGGGAGAACCTGGAAAAAAGCACCAGTTTGGGGAAAAAAGGGGGAAATCGGTGAGTTTGCCCTAAATTAGGGTCAGGGAGATTTCCTTCCTTCCTTCCTTCCTTCCTTCCTTCCTTCCTTCCTTCCTTCCTTCCTTCCTTCCTTCCTTCCTTCCTTCCTTCCTTCCTTCCTTCCTTCNCCTTCCTTCCTTCCTTCCTTCCTTCCTTCCTTCCTTCCTTCCTTCCTTCCTTCCTTCCTTCCTTCCTTCCTTCCTTCCTTTTCCCCCATTTTCCCTCTTCTCACTGTGTATCTTTTTGCTTCCATTTCCCTTTTTCCATCTTTTCCTTCATTTTCCCTTTTTTCACTCTTTTCTTCTTTTCCTATATTTCCTTGGTATATTTTTCCCATATTCCCCCCTTATTTTCCCTATTTTCCCCCCTTATTTTCCCTATTTTTCCCCCTTATCCATCTTTTTTACCCTTTTACACCCTTTTCCCCCTAGTTTTCCTATTTTCCTTTTTCTTCCTTTTTTTTCCCCCTCTTTCCTCCATTTTCCCCTCTTCCCCCTATCCCCATTTCATTCCTCTCTCCCCTCCCTCATTTTTGGGATGAAACTGGGCAAAATCAGCCCGGCCTCAGGAACACAGGGGCAAAGGAGAGCAGTGAGGCCCAATTCAGGGCATTTTAGGCTGTTTTAGGTAAATTTGGACTCTTTTTTTTTGCATTTTGGGTCATTGGGGCTGTCGCTTATGTTTTAGTGCAATTTCTAGGATATTTTGGGCAGTTTCAGGGATATTTAGGAGTGTTTTGGGTCTCTGCTTTAAGGCAGCATTTTGGTGTGTTTGGGGGTTTTTGGGGACTATTTTGGGGGAAACTTCTGAGATTTTGGGAGTCTTTTGGGGGTATTTCAGAACATTTGAGGGTGTTTTAAGGAGCTTTTCAGACACCCATTTTGAAGTCCTGGGGCTGTGTTTTGGGGCAATTTGAGGGTGTTTTGGGACTGTAATCAAGAGAATTCGAGGTGAACCAGGGTGGCATTTTGAGGCAATTCAGGGATAATTTGGGGCATTAGCATTTGGGGGTCTTTCAGGGTGCCCTTTTGGGGTGTTTTGGGACGTTTTGAGGCAGTATTTTATGGTTATTTGGGGTGTTTTGGAGCACCAAGGAAGGTTTTGGGGACCTTTGGCCGCTGGAGGGGGGATTTTTTGGCATCTCAAGGGAACATTTGGGGCATTTTAGGATCTTCGGGGGGGGCTGACAGGACGTGGGGCAGTCGGGGGTGTTCCAGGGTGTTTTTTGGGGGGATTCATGGGCGTTTCGGGGCCTCCCGTCCCGCAGGGTGTGGGACGCCCTCACCGACGGCTTTGCCCCCCCCGGCTCCCCCCGGCGCTGGCTGCTCCCCGACACCGAAGCCCCCAGTGACAGCGACACCCAGGTAGGCCCCGGACCCCCCAAAACCTCCTCCGCCCCCCCCAATTTCCCCCCGTGATGATTGACAGCTGTCAATCCACTCCCAAGCCTGGCGACGGTCAGGGAGGGGGATCTTCGGATCAGCCCAAACCATCGTTTTCCGTCGTTTTTGGATGGTGGCATCTCCTTTTGGGTGGAAAGTACACCAAAACAGGAGCGCTTGAGGCTCTGCTGGGTCGAGGTGGTGGGTTTTGGGGAGAAAAAAAGGGAAATTGGTGATCACAGGCAGAGGAAGAACGGATCCAATGGCCCATCCAACAACTTCCCATCCAGCATCCTCATCCCATGCCCTTGACCAGCATCTAGAAGATGGATCTAGATGATCTAGAGGTGGATCTAGAGGATCCATTGTCCCCATCACAGGTCCCCATCCAACCTGTCCAGTGTCCCCATCCCATTCTTGCCTCTCCCCATCCCATGTCCCCTTCCCACATCTCATCCCATGTCCCTGTTCAACCTCCTTCTTTTCCACCTCTGCGCCTCCCTATCCCACATCGCCATCCCATGGAACATCTCCCCAGCATCCCGTTCAGCATCTCCCCATCCAATGGTCTCATCCAACCTCTCAACATCCAGTGTCCCCCCAAGATCTCCTCATCTCATGTCCCCATCCAACCTACCTCTGTCCAACCTCTCCATGTCCCCATCCAACGTGTCCACAACCAATCCATCCAGTGTCCCAGCAACATCTCTGCATCACGTGTCCCTGTCCAAGTCCTCTTTAACTTACTCTCCCCATTCAGTGTCCCTGTCCAACCTCTCCCCATCATCTCTACATTCCATGTCCATGTCGAGCATGTTCCCATCTGACTTCTCCCCCTTCCACATTTCCTCATCCAGCCTCTTCCAGTGTCACATCCATGGGCTTGTCCTGTCCAACCTCTCCCCATCCAATATTCCCCATGCACCCAACCCGTGTCCCTGTCCAGGCCTCTCATCCAGGTTCCCATCCAACCTCTCCCCATCCAATATCCCCCTCCAGCTTTGCCCTCTCCAACATCTACCATCCAACATCTCCATTGACATCTTCATCTAACCTCTCCACATCCCATGTCCCTGTTCAGCCTCTTCCCATCCCAAATCCCCATCCCACATCCACGTCCACCCTTGGGGCTCCCATCCCTCTCCGTGGCTGCTCCGGGTGGCCGTGCCACCCGTGTCCCCACATCCCATGTGTCCCCACAGCTCTGCGGGAAGGAAGAGGAGGATGAGGATGACGAGGAGGAGCTCACCGAGAGGAGCGAGCAGGACTCGGGCATCAACGAGGAGCCGCTGCTGACAGCGGAGCAGGTACCCGTGCACCCCACGTGTCCCCAGCGCCGGCCAGGGACCCACAGCATCGTCCCAAAGCACCCAAAAAAAAGGGCCAAATCCAGAGTTTTGGGCCACAGGGGTTGCAATTTGCAAGCGTTGATGAAGATGAAGGTGGGAAGTAGGGCTGGGGACGTGGGATGGAGGTCGCAGGTACCAGAGTGAGCAAATTTGGGGGCACATGCTGCTCCTGGTGGTTCAAACACGGGTGCATAAGATGTGGGTGCAAATGCCGGGTGCAAATATGGGTGCGGGTGCAAATACGGGTGCAGGTGCAAATTTGGGTGCACGCGCAAATTTAGGTGTGCATCATCCCCCACGTGCCCCACAGGTCATCGAGGAGCTGGAGGAGCTGATGCAGAGCTCGCCCGACCCCGAGGCCGATGCCGAGGCCGAAGACGAGGAGGAGGAGGAGGAGGAGGAGGACGAGGCCGAGGCGGAGCTGGCGGGCGGGGGCACGGAGCCCATCGTGCTGCGGGAGCTGCACGCCTTCCCGCCCGCCCTCAACAACAACTGCTCCCACGAAGGTGCCTTTTTTGGGGGTAAAGCCCAGCGGATCGGGCAAGCAAGAGCATTTTGTGATATGGTTGCACCGTGCATTTTGCTAAATGCAGTGTCCATCTCACCACTGCACGGTGCACTTTGCTGCATGCGCCACGTGTGCCCTTCTGCAGCGGTGCCGTGCATTTTGCCATGTGCACCTTGCACCCTGCATTTCTTGCATTGCATCATGGTTTTTTCGGTAGTTGCACCGGGCATTTTGCTACTTGCACGTGCATCTGGCTAATTGCACTTGCATTTGGGTAATTGCACCGTGCATTTTGCTTATTGCACCGTGCGCTTTGCTGGTGGCACTCTGCATTTCTGTCGTCACACTTTTCCTCATGCATTCTGCTCATTGCACCGTGCATTCCACTAATTGCACTCTTGTACTGTGCATTTTGCTAGTTGCACCGGGCATTGTGCTTCTTGCACCATGCCTTCTGATACTGCACCGTGCCTTTTGCTAATTGGACTGTATTTTTTGCTTATTATACACACATTCTGGTCATTGCATCATGCATTTTGCTAATTGCACCAGGCATTTTACTTACGGCACCATGCGTTCTGCTGGTTGCACCATGAATTCTGCAAATTGCACTGTGCATTTTGCTAATTGCACCATGCATTCTGCACATTGCACCGTGCATTCTGCAAATTGCACTGTGTGTTTTGCTAATTGCACCGTGCATTCCGCAAGTTGCACCGTGCATCCTGCAGATTGCCCTGTGCCTTTTGCTAGCTGCACCCTACTTCTTTCTCCCCCTCGCCCCGTGTTTGGGCGCCAGGCCTGGGGCAGCTCTGGGCAGCGGAGCTGGTGTCAGCTGCGTGAGTTCTGCAAATCGCACTGTGCATTTTGCTAATTGCAGCAGGCATTTTGCTAGTTGCACTGTGCATTTTGCTAGTTGCACTGTGCATTTTGCTAGTTGCACTGTGCATTCTGTGGGGCGCACCATGAGTTCTGCAAATTGCACTGTGTGTTTTGCTAACTGCACCGTGCATTCTGCAAA